TTTAACTAATTTCACAAAGAGCATAATAAACATAAATTTCTCATTTTCTTTTAAAAATTCCTCATCAGTACACTTTACATGACAGTTTGTTTTTCCAAGATAAGATATGCCTGATGACATAAGATACAAAGTGATACCTAATTGCTTGGTTTAAAAACTAGTCACTTAGGAAGCCGCTGTAAAACACCTGTTACAAACTGGATCTCAACACTGACTTTCTCCTGTATCCAAGAATATAATTTGCTATCCAGGAGTTAGTTAATATTTCTTCCTTTTCTTCTCTTATTATAGAGAAGAAATAGCAATTCTTATCATCTCTATTACAAACAAACCATATCTGTGTACTTCTTTCTATCTCTACACCTTCCATTCTGAAATGAGCCAACATCTTCTGCTAAAGACTTTGTTCTCCAAGCCTTTACTCCAAAACTCTAGGCATGAAATTGAAACAAACAGGAGTTTCAAGTCTGGATTTGAAGATGATACTCCTGGTTCTATCATTTGCCTCCCTTTAAAATACTCTCCATATAATATCCAGAGTGGTTATCTTAAAAATGTGAATTAAATCATGTCATTTCATGCTTAGACATGAACTGAGAAAACAACCAAATTCTTTACCCCAGGTTTTAAAATACTAGCTTCTGCCTGTCTCTCTAATTTCGTTATGTATACTTTCTCTCTTCTTCTTCCCCTGTTGTTCTTCTTCTCCTCCTCTCCTCTCCTCTCCTTTCTTTCCTTTCTCTCTCCCTCTCCCCCACCCCGTGCATATCTGTACACCCCCAATTGCTCCTCATGAATGCACCCATACATGCACACTAACACACTTGGGAAAAGCAAATATGTATTTTTTTAATGTCATTAGGAGCACAGATTTTCAGTGTGAGATAAAAGTTTATAAACATCTAACAAGTAAAATAAAATCTATAATCTTAACTTTTACATGGAAATAGCAATAAACTCCAAACATATTTTCTCTCTCTCTAAAAAGAAAGGAGGAAGAAAAGATTCTCTAGGTGTGTTTACTGGAAAAATCAAGAAACAATGCTCAACCTGGGCAAAAACACTAAGTTAAGCCTCTAAATATCTTTTCCCAATAAAAGAAATTAGGAACCACTGGGGGAAAAAGCTGATTCAATGCCTAAGACAGAAAATGTCTCAGATGAGCCTAAAATATCTTGTT